AGAACAGGATGTGGGAGGAAGGAGAATTATTAGTTAATAAATTTTACCTTCTAAATCACTGAAATTCAAAAGTACCAAGGATGGCAATATCATGGCTAATGTTCAAAAATTGGCTAATGTCAAACATTTCCAGTGAATTATAATCATAAGGGGTTATTCAAAGTTCAGCATAAATCAAAACACTAGAAAATATCCACTTGCCATGTTTAATTTATAAGGTCAACTGAAGGTAAAATCCATATAGCTTAACATTTTTTTCAAGCTTTTTGGTAGAAATTAAAAATTACACTCTCAGACTACCTAATAATTGCTTCATTATTAAACATTAACCCACAACAAATTACTTGCACTAATTTAGGATTCTTAAATTTGCAATTATTTTTTTTCTAAAACAATAAATACTAGCTCTTACACAATGCATATGAGCACACTACATTAATTAATTTTTAATACTTACTAAACTTTCATATAAACACTAAAAATGAGAATACGATTTAGCAGCTTAGTCTTTAAAATATGAAAATTTTACAAGCTGGAAAAACAGGAAGATCTGCTGTAGTAAGTTGACTGTAGTGATGCCCTATAATAAAAGGCATATGAAGATACTATTCACAAAGGAATAACAGGGCATTATGATTAAAAGCATTAAGATCTGGGGCTTGGGATGGGGATGTGGCTCAAGCAGTAGGCAGCGTGCTCACCTGGCATGCGCGGGGCGCTGGGTTCGATCCTCAGCACCACATAAAAAATAAAGATGTTGTGTCCACAGAAAACTAAAAAATAAATATTTTTAAAAATTCTCTCTCTCTCTCTCTCTCTCTCCCTCTCCCTCTCTCTCAAAAAAAAATTCAAATTCCATTTTACCATATACTAGTACTGTGAACTTGGACTAGTTACTTAACCTCTCTGTGCCTGTTTCCTCACTTCTAAAATGAGGGTCATAATTCTACCTACTTCATATTGTTCTTATGAGGAATGCAGGAGCTAATAAATATAAAGCAATTAGAACAAGGCCTATTAGGGTTTACTAGCACATAACACTCAATAAATGTTATCTATTATTATTATATTTATATTAATGTTAGTATTAATATATTAATAATATTCCATGAAGACAATATTCTGAGGAATAAAAACATCACACATAATATCACACTAGGAAACTGAAAACTAAAATATAACGAAGGCATGATGTAGAAATCTCATCTTAAACCTGGTGAGAATTAAGCTATAAAAACTTAAAACCAAGTTCTGATGAGTTAAGTTGTGCAAAAACAGAGTAGTCACGCCATAATATTAATGCTCTTGACAGATTACATGCTTCATTGTTTTCCATGACCTAATCCTATAAGGCATGAAGTTAGTTACACAGGAACCAGTGAATTTTCCAGTATGGTACTCATACCAGGCAGGATTTTAATGAATTACTACACAGAGTAATGCCTAGGTATATTTGAGACAAATGAATACTCTACCTCTATTCAAATCAAAGCCACAAAGGCTACTACACTAAAATCTAAGGAAAAACTTACAATGTGCATATTTATTGTCTTCCCTGCTATTTTCTCTTTTCCCTTTGCCCCAATCTAATTTAAAATGCCTTTCATGGAGAAGAATTTCCACTTTGCTCTTTGGCCATAGCACTGACTTGTAGAACTCAGCTTCTTCATTTCAGGTAGAAAAACTGCTACGGTTTGGAATGTGAATTTCCCCCAAAAGTTCATGAGTGAGACAATGCAAAAAAAAGGTTAGAGGTGAAATGACTGGGTTATGAGAGCCTTAAATTAACCAGTGAATTAATCACCTGATAGGGATTAATGGGGTGGTAACTGGAGGCAAGTAGGGTGCAAATGGAGGAGGGGGGTCTTTGGATCCTGCCTTTGGAGTTTATATTTTACCCTTGGTGTGAAGAGAACTCTTTATCTACTTCCTGGTGTTATGTTCTGAGTATCTTTCCTTCACCACACCCTTCCACCAAGATGTTCTGCCTCACCTCAGGCCCCAAGAAATGGAGTCAGCCACCTAATGCCTAAAACCTCTGAAACCAAGAGCACCAAAATAAATTTTTTGTCTTCTAATTGTTCTTGGAAAAAGCTACTAAAACAAAGGCATGCTTTTTTTCTTTGATCAGTTACGCAACTTCTATCAATATTCTGAATCACTGACCTGTGCAGTCAGCCACCCCATCATTCCATGAACAGATTCAAGATCCTTTATCTTGCTCACTCATATTTTCCTGAAGTTCTTCTCATTTATGTAAAAAAGCAAACTTCTGCCCAATAATCCACAACTGGGTAATTCACATATGGCTCATCAAGAGTTGGCTGCATTTTAGAATGCAATTTTACAATTAAATTTAGACTCCACTAAACAAAGCCTTTTTTCTTAAAATAACTAGGTAGTTAAAAAAGGATAGAGTTCAGACATTGTTTTATGGCATAATCTTTGAGGATAGTTTTTAAAACTTTGTGTTCATTTTCTAAATCAGATGATGGTAAATAATACATTTCCACAATAATATAACATTTCCTACTTCTTACACATTAATTCACTTAATGTACACAATTCTTCTAGCTAGATGTTACAATCCCCATTTTATAGATGAGAAACTACATAAGCATCAATGGAACAGATGAACATAATTTTGCCAGGCTCTTCAGTAAGTTGTTATTCTTGAGAAAAACCCATAGTGAGGAAAGTGGTTAACTGAAATTAATATTCCAAGATAAAAGTACAATCTCTTTACTGCTGAGAATGAACAACCTGGATGCTTTACCACGCTAATACTTTCTCCTTGTGACTAAAATTTTCCTACTTTACTTCTTACACTAAATATGCTAAGCCTGGCAGGGCAGGAATCTGCAACCTAATAAATTCATTCAGGACACATTGAATACGGTAATAGCAGGGAACGCGGCCTTTCATGGCTTCTGCCAAACCTCTGTCTGGCCTTGCAAAAAATATTCTTGAACTTTGGAATTTATTACCTAATTACAACAAGAGATGGCATAATCGATTAATTAACTTGCACAAAACCAAATTTTAAATTGTGTTTACCTGTCATCTGAATGTCATAACGGATAACAGTTTTACGTACCATTGACAAATGGTGAAAAGGTGCTAAGCCCATCTGTGAGTATACTTAAGATTAAACTTAAGAAAAACATTCAATTTAAAATTTAAAACTGACTGTTCTTTCTTACAAGGTTTAGCTTCAGAAATAAATAAGGTGAACCCTTTCACTTGAATCAAAATAACATTCAGGGGATATAGAGTTGTAGCTCAGCTCACTGGTAGAATACTCAGCTAGTATCCAAGAAACCCGGTTCCAGTCCTCAGCAACACACACACACATACACACACACAGATTTAAGAGATTATGTATTTTTTCCTATCAATTTTCCAAGAAACACAAAGGCAAGCAGAATATTTAATATTATTTTGCATAGAAGTTATTTTATATAATTTGTGTAGAAATAAATAAATGTATGTGTGCCAATGATTATGAGGAATCTGAGGAGAAAAAACAAACCTAAACTTTTATAAATAAAGCAATAGAAGTTAGAATGCATACCTATACAGATGAGTGAAGAAAAAAAATTCCAGTTAAAAATGACTACACTTTTTTTTTAAAGTATAAAGCACAGAGCTGATAAAGGGATGTTCCTGTCGACTAAGGATTAAAGTAATAAGCACTATCAAGGGATTTTTGTTTTTTCATCCTTCATTGAAATTTTATTTTTTAAATTTTGAAACATTTGTTTTAATATCTATGATATTCAAACTATAAAACTTGCAGAAAATGTCCATGAGAAAGTAAAAGCAACCATTAGGATGTAAATACTTACTGTATAAAAGAATACAAATACATAGAATCCTATGATAATGGAAAAGTAGCTGAACATCTGAGACCATATCTGAAAGATGCTTTCTAAGTTAAATCCTACTTATCAGAATGGTTAACAAATGCCCATTGAATTTGTGCATCCAAATTCAATTAATTTTGGCTAATCTAAACTTTATTATTGTACAAATATTTATAAACCACTTAATAGATGCTAGATAATAGGGCTACAATGGGAAGGGGAGAAAAGAGATAGCCCCTGCTACTTGCTTTATATGCCCTAATATTAACCAATATGTAAACTTCCAGAATTCTATCATATTGATATTTCTTAATAAAAATATTTTCCAAAATATTCATTTGGAATCACCAACTCACAATTCAATAATACTCCAATAATACTCCAAAAAGTAATTCTAACAACATAGAGGGTTATCTGGCACAGAAATATGCCAGCAAAAATGAAATACATATAATGTATTTCAGTACCTTTAAATCACACTTACAAAAAAAAAAATTTAATGTTCTGACATAATGCTCAAAGTATTTTTCTTTTAATTTGTTCCCAATTGCCTTATTGTATTTTTTTTTAAAAATTGATTTTTATAACACTGGCATTCTATATGTCTCAACAGAGGACATTTTGCTTTATCAAACCACACTGTGTTTAGGAAGCACTAAAGTATTAAAATATGCATCTAAAGAGGTAAAAGACTTTTTGCTAACAGTTTTAATTCTTCCAAACAATCAGAAGTCTAAAAACACAGCAGTAACTGGTAAACTGTATAATATATAGATACATGTTCAATCATGATCTTTCATCTCCCTTCCAAAAGGGAGCAGTAACTTTAGTTAGAACCAGAGTGATTGTAAGTATGTAAATGCATAGATGTTATATATATATATATTAATAAAAACATGTAATCTCACCAAGAATATTTCTACTTATTCATTGAGATTAATAGGTGAGCTCTATGAGAGCAACTGATTTTAAAGGTAACAATTGGAAGTATCATATCCCTTCTTTGGGATTCAGTTTTGCTTAAGTCAAAATAGGTACCTTAAACAATTGCTACTTCACATAACTAACCAAACCAAAACAGAAACAGAAACAACCACCGGCAAATCAAATCAACCTCTATACAGGCTCTTTTACCTGGTAATCCAGAATGCTGAACCCCAAGCCTTTATGGTCTTTCACTAGCTCAACAATCTTGACTTCAGGAGACCACAAAGCTAATTCCCCATCATCCTCATCTTCAGGACTGACATCTATCCTGTTTTCAACCTGAAAAACCAAAGAAGATAATTGCTTCCAAACAGTCCTTTCTTTCCTGAAAAGAATGAAAATATTAGGAATCTCACAGCTTATTTTCAAATTGGGAATTCTCTTCGACATGAGTAGTTTTCCTTCTTGTTCTTTTAAAAAGGGGCATGCACCAGGCATACACAATGTAGGATGACATAGATGTTCTTAAAAATTCAAGCATTTAAAAATGCAGATTGTCCATACAATGTTTTTTTAATGTAAAATATATTTTCCATTGAAAGTATTAACACTAACCTCTTATACTTCAATGAGTTCTGTCATCCCATTAGAAGCATAAAAGGAAAAATATGCAATTTAAGTAAAAACAAAAACATCACATAAACTAAGAAACATACAAGATATTTAAAAAGCAATACCTAGATTCATAATTATAATGAAAGACAGAAAACAATGTCAACACAGAGAGAAGCCAGAGCAGGACACAGAGAAATCACTTCTGTTGAGTCCTTTCAATAAAAACTTCACTACCTAATAAAATGTCACAGTTTTATAATTCACAGGGGGATTTCACTAGAAAAATAAAGTTAGAAAAAAGAAATCCAAGTCCTTAAGCATTGTGTGATTCTAAAAATATGTAAAAATCAACATTATCATTTGGATCTGCAATGTCCCAAAGATTCAGATGTTGAAGGCTTGGTCCCCAATGCAGCAATGGTCAGACGTGGGGCTTAGGGGAAGTGACTGAATCCCAAGGGCTCTGACCTCATCAGTGAATTAATCCACCACTAGCTTCATAATTTAATGGCATTATTAGAGGTGGTGGAGAATGTAAGAGGTAGGGCCAAGTTAGAGGCAGTAGGCCACTGGGGACATGCCCTTCAGGGGTGTATCTTGCCCCTGGCCCCTTGCTTGCTATCTCTCTGCTTTCTGGCCATCATAAACTGAGCAGCTTTTCTCCAATGCCCTTCTTCCATGATGTTCTGCCTCACCACAAGCTCAAAACAATGGAGCCGGCAGACCTTGAACTGAAACCTCTGAAACTGTGAACCAAAATAAAGTTTTCCTCCTTTAAGCTCTTCTGCTTAGGTATTTTGACACAGTGACTGAAAGCTATTACAATCACTGAGTTGAAATAATGAAAATCTGATCTTAGAGGAAAGGCCAGCCCAAGTGTCTAGCATACTTTTCTTGACTTGACAACCCAAAGTCTTTTATTCCAGACTTCCTGTCCTTTCAGGAAGAATAGCCACAGCTATGTGGAATTCCAGGAAGCTAAACAAAAAGATCAATGAGTCCACTATGCAGGAGGACAATGCCTACTTCATAACCCTTGTGTTTTTATTTATAGCATTATATTGTTGTCATCCAGTTCATCTTCCCCAACATAACTCTGACCTTTTGCATAACACTCAAGAAATTCCTTCTTTTGCTTTATGGCCCTCACAACTAACAAAAAGGCTGGCTCCTGGACTAGAATGGAGGCTCTTTGAGAGCTCCTGCAGACTTCCACTTGACTCCTGCTGCCTGGCTGCACTGGATAAATATCTGTCCAATGCATTATTTAATCATCTACTTTTGAGTGTGTTTCTCTTAAAACTCCTTCTTAGTAAAGTTATATACTAAATAACAAGTTTTAAAAGCAGATTTCTTGAAATTTTGGGTTTGTTCTCAGAATATAAAATGAAAATGTATCATTTCTACTAACATAATTTTGAGTGACCCATATAAGAAAACTCATTTAATTGAACTAAAGGAAGGGAGGCAGAGTCTATCATTTGAAGAGGAAGTCACCACAGTTAGTACAAAAACATTCTTATGCAGGGCCTGGCCGCCCATGCCTACAATACCAGTGACTAAGGAGGTTGAGGCAGAAGGGCAGGAGAATTACAAGTTCAAGGCCAAGTAAGACCCTGTCTCAAACTAAAAAATAAAAAGGACTGGAGATGTGACTCAGTGGTAAAGAACCCCTGAATTAATCCTCAGTTTCCAACCCCCCAAAATTAGGACTGGTCCAGATGCAAGTTGCTGGTAGGACATGGAAGATCAACACCCAGTCCATGGAAGATGGAATCTGAATGTAGGAACAATTTCCTTGTTCTTAGATTATATAACCTGAAATAAGTAGAAATGTTCTAGATCAATAACCTCTGTATATTTCAGCCTGATATGATGAAGTGATATAGTTAAAAAGAAAACACTCATATCTTCCAATAAAATGCACAGTTCCAATGGCTAATACAATATGATTAATGTCTTACTGGGAACTTAATACCCTCACTGATTAATGAGTGTTTGAATTTTGGCTGAGCCACCTAACCAGATAGTTTAATAAAATAAGATGGTATCAGTATAAGTGAAAAAAGAGAGAGATGGAAAAGAAAGTCAGGACTTTAGGAAACCACATACAATTAACACAAGTTTATAGAAATTTCAAGGCATCCCAAGTGCATAAGATATCATGCAACAACCGGAAATATATCACTTTGATATAATCAATTTTGCATAATTCTTATATTTACAAAATGGAAAGCAATCAACTAATGGGCAGCCAGATTGACGTTTGGCATAATTCAAGCTGTTGTTCACCCATTGTGGTAAAGCATGACAGATGGGAGCACAGAGTCAGCAAGCTGGGTTGGTGATTTACACACCTTATAGGATTAGATTAAAGGCATTTTTATCAGCCCTCAAAGGGAAGCCACCACCCATATTTCATTTCATTAAGGATAGCAAGTCACAAAAGTTTGGCATTTGAGTTCCAAACTTGATTTTTTTTTTCTTTTTGCAAAAGATATACATTAAAAAAAAAAAAAGATTGTCAATCAATTATCAAAAAATTTCCTTTTTATTTGCCCAGTACAGAATAAAAGCATTATGAGATAATAAAAAATAATAATAATTTTAAGAGTTGGCCTCTGACCGAGAGGAATTGACAGTCTTCTTGGAAAAACAAGATGGATACATACTGACGGATCTGTGACTGTAAGTTAGTACTAGATTCCAATGTACTTTAGAAAATCAGAAAACAAAGATTGGTGGACTGCAGCAGTCAAGAAAAGTGATCACTAACTTTTGTGGCGTACTTTCCACACTCAAGCCATCACAGGAAGGTCTTTGCACATATTATTTATTTTGCACATTTATTGCTTCTTACATAAACGCATGAGATGTGTAAGCTCTAATCAGGGCACCATTTTTCAGAAGAATATGAAGAGAAAACAAGGTTATTTTCCCAAGATTCATGAATATTAAGTGCTAAAGGCAGGATTAGAGTCCATGTAATTTGAAATCCTGACCAAAGGCAGGTAGAAAGGAAGCCCGTGCACCTAAGCTGGTATGAATGGAATTATAACCTAAGCGTCTGGAAACAGGAGAAGTGGCACAAACATGCAATTACCAAGGGCTCATGATGGCAAAATATGTGCTCAAAACTCTTTTTGAAATTACAATGCTCTTAGAAAGAGTTCCAACAGCAGATAAAGTTATTTCATTCTCTGGCCTTCTAAAAGTTTTTATGGCAACTTTTAGACTCACTTCAAAACTGATCACACATCTTCTTATTTTTAAGGCTCTGAGAAAGAAAAGATCATTAGATATTCAACATCCACCAAAATCTTAACCTTATTAAGATGAATTGAGTTGAACCAGGAGCCAAAAGCAATGAGTGCAGGCAATTACTAAAATCAAAATGCATGCACATCAATGTCACCAACACTTTGAGGAAAAGAGTTTTAGGATGGTAAGTGAAAATAACAACCTGAAAAAGTGATGCATTGTTTGCCTCAGTTAAATATAAAGGAGTAGAGCAGGGTTGGTTCTCCACTCTTAACCCTGTAGTACATTCTTTGGGGTATCCTTACTGAATGTGCATGCCTATGGGAAGTGTAGTATATGCATTCAGTACCTCCATCTCAGGAAGAAGGGTTTCAGTAGTCATTGGTTCATCTACAGAGGCTTCATCGTCAAATAGCCGCCGACAGCAAACCAAGGTAAAAGGGGGTGGCACTTCTTTAAGAAAGGAAACTGCTTCTCGACGAGATTTTCCATAAAGCTGCACACCATTGACCTAGAAGGACAAGGGGTAAGTGATCACTGAGGAGGCCCCAAATGAAGAGACAAAAAAACCTCTTGTTATCAATCTATCCAAATTTGAATGGGATATCATTTATGCTCTCTTTAAACAAAGGACCTAGTCATATTATCTCAACAGTCCCTAAAAATGTTAGAAATCCTATTTAACAAAATTAAGACTGAATCTTTACTGAACTTGAATGAATGAATTGTAAAATGTGTGCAGAGTACAACAGTTACTAGATGAGTGATCTGATTCTTCACAGCTCCACGGCTTCTCCTATGGGTGCACCAGTATTGTTCTCTCATCTACTTCTACCAACCTCTCCTAAAATGCACTAAATATCACTTACAGCCTTATCAAGACCATTTCCTTTCACAAGAATAATAATATCACTATAGATGTTAACACTAAACTTAAGATTGTTTAAAACTGCTCACCTTACAATGTAAAGGTGATAAAATCTTAGATGCATGGCTATCAAAATTTAACATCGGTTCAACATCCTTTCACTCTTAATACCATCCTAGAAAAATCGCTTCTATAGAAAAGCAATATACATAACTTGCTCCATTCTTGTAAGTTTTGCTGATGCAGCCATCAAGTTATGAAGGAAGTGTCAATTTCAAGTTATTTCATTCAAGTGTTTCATGTTTAAAAAAGAGAACTATTCCCTACTAATGATTAATCTTCCTCATGAAAAATTATCTACATTTTATATCATTTTGGTATATAATGATAATAATACTTTGCACCAAAGATGATTTTAGAAAGATTACATTTATTACTTTAAAGAGTTCTCTCACTTCTGACTATTGGTCACTAAAAGCTAACCTGTCTGTTCCTCCCCAAAAGCTGAGGCATGGACAAAATTCAGGCACAACAATCTTTTCATATCTGACTTCTACCTTCCTGGGAGGGGTTAGCAACATTATTAGTTTTAATGAAATTTATTTCTGACAGGTATAGTGCTAATGTTCAGATAACTGACTGGGCCAACTTTACTGGGAACAGCCTTTCCACAGACCTGTCATTGCACCAGAGAATTTAAGTACATTGGGTTGCTGGCAGCATCTCATCAGCAGCGGGAGGAGTCTGGAGACATCATCCCTGGGAACCACTCTCAAGCCTGTAACCTACCCAGCACTTAGCCATCAGGCCAGACATCTCCCTGCCACTTAATTATTTACAAAGAAAGCACCACATGGTAGAGGGACCCACATGCACTTTAGGGAGCTGTCTCTACTGGAAAAGTAAATATCACCTCCCCAGTTTTTACAACAATGAAGGGGTCCAGGGGACAGCAGGTTTGTCAGAAGACAAAAGGTTTTTCCTTGGAAGAACTGTAAGTCAACCTTTATGCAAGAAAGGGCTCGGAGGTACCCACCATATCCATAGCACCAATTGATGATATAAGCACAGAAAGACCTAAAGTCACTTAAATGGATAGCAACCCATATTAAAAATAGCAAGTAGATATGATCAAAGCAGGAATTCTACCCATACACAAGTATTATTTTGTGTTTCACTTCAACAAATTAGAAAGTCACTTCTTGGGTTTTTATCTTGGAGTACCTTTAAATATTTATTTAGCTCATTATTTATTAATTTGAATTGTCTCCAATTATTACAGCAGTGCCTGGTAGTCCTCCTCACTACTTTCTCTTGCTAAAGGGATTGGTCACATTTCCCATTACCAACTCCTATCTAAGGGGATTTATGGCTGTTGTAAACGGCTGCTTTGGGCTGAGACTTGGCATAGTGTTCTAACCCCAAAGCATATTTGTGTTTCTGGTTTTAAGATCTAAGGAGTACATTACACACACACACACACACACACACACACACACA